TGCCTTGACAGGCGCTCTAGTAATGGAAGGTACACGCTTAGCATTACATAAATAAGGGATTTTCGAAACCACACTTAGATCAAGCATCTACTTTCAAGCTATGAGAACCACCATTTCTTCATCTTGTCTCACCAAGATAATACGGCACACCCAGCTTTGGCATGGCCCATGACACGTACGATCGAGGCCTTGACAAGTGCTTTACTCATAGAGCTCCTAGATCTAACCGGTTTCTGTGCAACGATTGTACATAATCCGAATAGACTATCCATTCGATTATGTAATCCCAATCCCTAAGCTCCCACTCAATCAAGCATATCTAATATCTTGATTAAGTTATATGCATTCATTCACTATGGATCATCCAAATGAACGAATCATGCTATTCTGAATCACAATTGACCGGTTTAAGCAACGATTGCTCAAATCAGATCCCAAAACGAAAAATCAAATTTTTGGTGAAGCCTCGTGACCCAGACTGATCGGTCTAGGCCTAGACCGACCGATCTACACGGCTCGGTCTCCAGGTCAAGTTAGGTCCAAACCTTTCGGTCCGGAACAATTGTCGGACCGAGTGACTTTCACACGTTACCTCCGGACCGACCGGTCCACGTGTCTGGACCGATCGGTCTGGGTTGGCTGGACCGATCGGTCTAGACCTTCTAGACCGGTCGGTCTGGGTTGGCTGGACCGATCGGTCTAGACCTTCTAGACCGGTCGGTCTGACCTCTGCTCCACCGGGATTTTCTCGTCTCTTCTCGCGCATTCGTTCTTTCCTGTGTGTGTGACCCTGTAGGCTCATCCGATATAGCAGTATAATCCGAAATCTCTTATTTCGGTTACACAAGTCATAGGCGGTCTCTAGCAAGACACTATGACTATCTATCTCGAATAGAGTTTGTTCGTGATCCTACGAACGCCAGTGATGATTCCGTTTGATGATCCTTTTGTATCACGATATCATATGTCGAATATAAGGCATGGACAAGCCACCTTATCTGATTCGACTGCTTTCTCGTTCACTGAGTTTGACTGTCTGAAATAGACGACGTTCGTCTATAGTGCGACCACACATTTCTACAGTCTCGCTCACACGAGGGGCCCAGCGATATCTCTCTCTTTTACGAGAGGTACAAATCCCGTCTTGACTATCTACAATCCAGCACATGATTCATTTCATACCTGATACACGCCTTTATAGTCCTCCTGTTATGCAGGACGTTTGACGGATTCAAAGTACGCAACTCCTCATGTTGGATTCCGTAGATATCTCAGGTCTTAGGATCCAATCATGGAACCTCCATATAAGATTCAAGTCATGACGCTAGTCCATGTGACAATCTCATGGGGACCATTCCAGTATTCCGTTATCCAACGAATACCTATGATTGTGATCGTATCCAATACCTATGATCATCTATATGATCATCAATCACACATCATACTAGTCTTGGTATATCATTATTCCCACAATGATATACATGACTAGGGAGTTTAGTATTGTTCATAACAATACATGGATTTCATAACATATTTAAGTATGCAAAACATGTAATGAATGAAACACTAATCTATAAATCATAGAAAGCGTCAATACATCAAATGCATCCAAGTAAAGCTCGCAAACACATCATAGAGCACTAAACCAACAGTATATACAAATATACGAGTATTTTATATATAAATATGTATTTTACTTATACATATATATTATATATTTATACATATCATGATATATACAAATATATATAATCGTGTATTTATATATATATATATATATATATATATATATATATATATATGTATTTATATATACAAACATATGTTATATATATAAATATATATTTTATGTATGTGTATATACGCACAAACATATACATATATATATATATTTGTAATTATAAATATTTGTATATGTATATGTATTAGTGTTGTAATATGTCAGAAGTTTAACTTGGAACAGTTGGTTGCTTGTCAATTGAAACTCTAAAGTTAAGTGTGCTTGAGCTGGAGTAGTGGAAGGATGGGTGAACTCCTGAGAAGTGGATTTCAGAGATTCAATTTCAGAATTTCCGATTCGGCTTAAGATCGCGGTTGGAGGTTAGAGGTAGGGATTAGGATATAGGATTAGATTCGGGATCAAAAAAAATATTTTTGCATCCAAAAGACGTTTTAGTGACGCAATAATTGCATCACCTTTTTTCGTCACTAAATAGTGACGTAATTGCATCACCTTTTAGCGTCACCAAAAGGTGACGCAAAAGTTGAGTCACTATTGCGTCACTCTTTGGTGACGCTTGGTGACGAAATCTGAATTGGTGACGGTATGAATGGTGATGCTTTTGGTTGCGTCACCTTTTGAAAAGGGTGACGCAAAAATACAAAAGGGTGACGCAAAATTGCGTCACCCTTTTGCTGTTTTCTTGTAGTGGGATATCCGTTGGAAATTTCAACGGAAATCGTCAATCGTTGAAAACTGTTGGAAATTCGTTGGAAAATCCGTTGAAAATGAGTGATTTTTTTGTAGTGTAGGTATGTCTTGTTGTGTGACAGTCAGAGTGTCATTCATCTTGGCAAGAGTGTCATTCATCATACGTTTCATTCAAGATCGAAGCATATATTGATGTGAGGTACCATTGGATTAGAGATGTCGTTGATTCGAAGGAGATTGAACTCGAGAAGGTTCATACTGATGATAATGGTGTTGATATGATGACGAAGGTATTTTCTAGAGAGAAGTTAGATGTTTGTCGCAAGATTGTTGGGATGGTGATTTGTTCACATAGTCGAAAGGGGGAGAATTGTTGAAATTCCTCCCATGTGAACAAGGTTTGGAGGAGAAAATCTTGTTCTTCAAAGGTTAACACCTCTTTTGACATTAAACCACCATTTTTTAAGCCACCATCTTTGAAGCTATCTTGATTGAAATTTGCAGTCATTTTTGTTGAAGAAATTAGTGCAAAAACTCTTATAAATAGTGAATTTTGGGGTGCAAATGAATCACAGCAACAACAACGAGAAACACATGAAAGAAAGAGAGAAAGGGAGAAGGAGAGTGAAAAAATAGTTTTGGACGGTTTTAATCAAATGATCGATCGGATATTGATCTCTTATCCGATCGATCTGAAATTTTGTGGAGGGATTCTAACTCTTTGTTCTTGATTCTGAACGGTTGGATTTTGATTTAAACGGTTAGAATTGAAGAAACATAGGTTTTACCAAAGTTGTTTGTCCATGGGTTTTAAACCGCGGCAGGTTTGATTGTTGTGAAAATCAGACGATGGATTCTTCTCCGATCGAGGTGAAATTTGGTATGCTCGTTCTAGACCCTCTGTTCTTTGACTTTTACGGTGGGATTTAGCATTGGTTGTTGGAATCAGAATCTATGGGGTTGACTTGCTACCTAAGTTACAGTTTGTTAAGTTATGATCTCTTGGCATATTGAGGTTAGAATATTGACGTGTATATTCTATAAACTCGGGTGTGTTTCTTGTATACGGAGGTTGTTGTGTGGACGTTGTAATCTAATTATTGTGGATTTTTGGGTGGACTATTGTCCCGTGGTTTTTACTCTTCACACTGGGGGTTTCTACGTTAAAAATCGTTGTCTCGTTTGATTTTGATACCGTTGCACTAGATATTGTCATTCTCGCAGGTTTACATAAATACGGGGTTTGGTTATTGATTTTTAATATACGATCGAAAGTCACGTAAGATCTAACATTATATTCTTTGAAAAGCGTGGGAGAATCCCCGTCATAAGATATTTGTCTTCTTTCCTGATACTGAAGATCCAAAACCTAAGATGGGCAAGTGATAAACCATCATACTTTGCATGCATGGATGCTGGAATTGAACCAATGAGAGCAGGTGACACAGCCTAATTTAGCAAGCATGGAGGTAATGGAGATAATTTAGCAAGCATGCAAAAAAAATATCAATTTTCCCATATATATATATATATTCATATGACAATAGTGTGATCCACACCCTCTTCAAATCAAGACTCCCGTATCATATTTATATTTTTATAGAATGTGTAATGAATTCAATAACTCCATCCACTTAATTTTGTGTATTGGATTTTGTCCTCCATTTTCTCTCTATAATTAAAGGGAAAATTTTAAATCAATAGAATTTTAATTCGAAAACAATAGAATTTGGGAAATTTCGATTGAATCAGGCTTTTGGGCCACTTGAAGAATCTCTTCACTTTTCAAGAGAAAATGAAGAAAGAAAAAAAAAAAGCTAGAGGATGTTTTACACATGATATGCTCTACAGTGCTTTTCTAACTATTTTAGCTTCACTCATTCCGTTAGGCCTTCTTGACTTTTTCAACATTACAAGGTTTTTTTTTTTCTGTTCTGTTTAAAAAAGCAAATCCTTTATCTAAATTTTGCTTTTTCTTGTAAAGAAATATAAGAAAGTTTAAAAAAAAAAGGAAATTAAATTCGCCTAAAACTAAGACTAGAGCTGAAATTAAAATGCCCAAAAAGAGTAACATTCGGACAATCGAATAAACTGAAACGAACCAGAAAAATGAAATCATAGTATATGAAATGATGAACGTAAGCAAATTTTATTAGAAAAAAAAAGATGTAATTTATTTATTCTCATCGGAACTCTAATACTCGCGAAACTCCGACAAGCCATCGAACCCATGAGAGGAAGAAGAAGAAGAAGAGATCCTCATAGTGGGAATGGGAGCTAAGAACAACGGATCCATTTCGTAATTCCCCAACGATCCATCTGACGGGTTCGTCGACAAATACGCGCCGTAATTGATCCCCGGAGCCGACAACGCCACCGCATCCAACATCGCCGGCGACGGTGGAGGAATCGCCGCCAACGAGCAATACGATAAACTCACCTGCCCTTGTTCTCCGATGGGGTTTTCTTGCTCACATATTGTTATATCATAATTTCCGGGTTCAGAACTGGGCAGTTCATAAACGTGGCAATATCCCGTTTTCTTCTGATTGCTCTCGGTGCTGCTGTTAGTTTGGGTGTGAATATGTTTATCTATCCAATCTGGGCTGGGGAGGATCTTCATAACCTTGTCGTGAAAAATTTCATGAATGTCGCTGCTTCTCTCGAAGGTTGGTAAAACTAAAGTTTTAGTCTTTTCTCTCTGGTTTCCTCCACTAGCTTGTTCCCACAATATCCGGCTAGTTTATATATATATGTATATATATATATGCTCTGTTCATAATATGTCTTCTCGACTGGATTTTCCTGGACTGATTATAGATTTGTGTAGGTTGTGTAAATGGGTATCTCCGTTGTGTCGAGTACGAGAGAGTCCCGTCCAAAATCCTCACGTACCAAGCGTCGGATGATCCTGTTTACAAGGCCTACAGATCAGCCGTTGAATCTACCAGCCAAGAAGACCCTAGACATTTCTTGGGTGAAGACCACAAGCTTTGAGTTCCATGATGGAACCCAAGCTTCTGCTTTCTGCGCAGAAACCCTTGTTGGTCTCTTGCAACCGCTTATTTCTTGAGAAACCCTATTTCTCTGCCAATTCCTGTGTGCCCATGTCCGTGATTCGAGCTTCGAGGTCTGAGTTCATGGGTAGAGGCTTGGCTCTTGGGGACAAATATGGGTTCTTCTCGGGTGCTTCAAGGAAAACCCGTGTTGTGGTGGAGCCAGTGAGAGCTGCTGTGAAGAGAAGGAAGGAGCTTCCTTTTGACAACGTGATTCAGAGGGACAAGAAACTGAAGTTAGTGTTGAACATTAGGAAGATTCTTGTGAGTCAACCCGACCGAGTTATGTCTCTTAGGGGGCTGGGTAAGTATAGGAGAGATCTGGGTTTGCAGAAACGTCGCAGGTTTATAGCTCTTCTGAGAAAATTTCCTGCTGTTTTTGAGATTGTTGAAGAAGGGGCATACTCATTGAGATTCAAGTTGACTCCAGAGGCTGAAAGGCTGTATCTTGATGAAATAAAGATCAGAAATGAGCTGGAAGATGTGTTAGTTGTTAAGTTGAGGAAATTGTTGATGATGTCGATGGATAAGCGTATATTATTGGAGAAAATTGCCCATTTAAGGACAGATCTAGGCCTTCCTCTGGAGTTTCGTGACACGATCTGTGAGCGATATCCGCAGTATTTCCGGATAGTTCCTACTCCTAGAGGCCGAGCTTTAGAGTTAACTCATTGGGATCCTGAGCTTGCAGTTTCAGCAATTGAATTGTCTGCCGAGGAAAACAGGACAAGAGAACTTGAGAGGAAGAATTTGATCATTGACAGACCCCTTAAGTTCAATAGGGTTACACTTCCGAAAGGTTTGAACCTTTCCAAGAGCGAGATGAGGAAGATATGCAGATTCCGAGACATACCATATATATCCCCTTATAAGGATTTCTCCCACTTGAGATCGGGTACACTCGAGAAAGAGAAACACGCTAGTGGAGTTGTTCACGAGCTCCTAAGCCTAACCATCGAGAAGAGAACCCTAGTTGATCACCTGACCCATTTCCGTGAAGAGTTCAGATTCTCACAACAACTAAGAGGAATGCTTATACGACACCCTGATATGTTCTATGTGTCGCTGAAAGGGGACAGAGATTCGGTTTTCTTGAGAGAGGCTTACAAGAACTCTGAGTTAATAGATAAAGATCCTTTGACACTTGTGAAAGAGAGGATGCGTGCTCTTGTTGCTGTGCCGAGATTCCCAAGAAGGGGAGGAGTGCCCAGGAGAGAAGAAGAGAGAGTCGGAAGTGATGCAGAGGCTGAAGATGAGGAAAGTGATGGAGAATGGTCTGATGTTGATGGTTACTTGAATGATGGGGATGGCGAAGGCGATTGGACCGAAGGAGATGAAGAAGAAGAAGAAGAAGGACCTCCTGATTTTGATGATGAGAATGGTGATGAAGAAACCGTAAAGATCGGATTGAACGGAGCTTCGAGTAGTTCTTCCAGGAAGAAGGAAGAAGAGAAGGTTCTTACACTTGTGTTCCCGGACGGCACTCCTAGGGAAAGATGGTAATGCAAAAGACATCTCATTACATGACACATTAGTCCTTATTATCAAGACAGAACACAGAAAAACACTTAAGTTAGATGTCTTCCCTCTGTAAGAACAGTGGAAATTGGTAAGCCCCTGAATGTATTTCCGCATTTTGAGATTGTTGTTTCTGAGTTTACTGCTTTCTGCACAGAAGTTTTGGTGAGAGGATAAAAGAGAATGGTGGGGAGCAGATGCTAATACATCTGCTAAACATAATAATCAAATGATAATATTAGCGAAAAGAACAAAATTTTATTCGGTATCATTCTAATTCTACTTTACAACCATAAAAATCGAATGTTGGGCGACAAAATGACAACATTTGTTTAGAATGAACGTGATCGAGAATTCGAGATGAATATGTTGCGATGGATTTTCGGAAGATGAATAAAAATAAGATTATTAAAGAGAAAGTACGAGTAATAGGCATAAAATTTAAGTTCCGAAAAGGATTTTTTAGATGGTTTGGACATATAGATACATAGAACTGTTAGAAAATAGAGAGTATAGAAATGAGAGCGAAGAGAAAAAGAACGAGACATTAGGGGTGATTTGAAACTGTTTCAAATTTCGAGAGAATTATCTGAAGATCAAAGATCATAACTTATGCATTGTTTTAAAATCCCCAAGATATTTAAATTTGTCTTCCAAAACATTGGTAACATCGGTTCTAACAGATTTAAATTAGTAATAATTTAAAGTTACTATCATTAAATTTAGTCTTAAATATTTAAAACTATTCATACAAAATTGACTAAAAAAATAATATAAATTTTATTTTTAATTTGTTACTGAAATTCCATAATAAATTTGTATATATATTGTATATGGATAAAAGAAATCATGGACCTCTCCAGGCTTAAGGAGCTAATTAAGCCAGGTCCATACAAGTGTCATTATTTAACTGGATATCGAATGCTAGGCCCTTTTGTATGGGCCTACTTTTAGTTGCCCGCATTTTATTGAGACGCAAAGTAGATTAGTCCCAATCTTCGATCGAAACAAACAGCGACGACCAAGTGCGAAGAAAAGCTTCTGCAGAGAGGCGGATTTGGTTGGGAAGAATGGGGAGGAAGAAGGGGTTGCCGGAGTTCGAGGAGACGGCGCCGGATGATTTCGATCCTGCGAATCCGTACAAAGATCCGGTGGCGATGCTTGAGATGAGAGAGCATATTGTCCGTGAGAAGTGGATCCACATCGAGAAGGCGAAGATCCTGCGTGAGAAGGTCAAGTGGTGTTACCGCGTCGAGGGCGTCAATCACTATCAGAAGTGTCGTCATCTCGTTCAGCAATACCTCGACGCCACACGCGGCGTTGGTTGGGGCAAAGATCACCGCCCCGTCTCGCTCCACGGTGCGTTTCCGGCGTTTTTCATGGTTTTTAGCGTTTTTTTTTTTTGCATTTGGCACCTTTAGGCTTTTATAAACGTTTCTCTTAGGGGAATGTTCAATCTGTTAATTTCCTGCCGAATTGATTTGAGTTGTTTTCTCTCTTAGGGGATTGTCGTTCTTAGTCAGTCAGTTAACAGATGAATGTTCTCTGGGATTTTCCATGATTTAATCGGATGAATGTCGTATGGAACTAAACTTTGACGTAGCTTCATCTTAGCGGCTTATTAGGGTTTTGTTCTGTCCATATCTTTTATCCATGAAATATTCTCTTGGGTGCAGGTCCCAAGCCGGAGGCCGTTGAATCTGAATAAACGTTACATGCCTGGACTGGATCGTGTGAGGTAATTGCCTAGCTCTGCGTTGTGATTCCCGGCTCCGATCACATTTCGTTACCGCTTTATCGGATGACAAACTGAGAAAACTCGGACACTCCTAGGCATTTCTGCTGCGATCTTAGAGTGGTTTAGATAGATCATAGCTTTTAGAAGAGAACCAGACCAAGTATGTGGAGGATAACTAGCTGCAAAAGAAACTGATAGAGTGCAACGCGAGTAGCTCGTTTTCGGGACATTTTGGGCACGGAATCTTCCTTAGCCGACGACGATTGTCTGTCTTCAACCCACTTATACCAGATTTGTTTTTCGTTGGCTCTCTCTGGTTCTATATAGTGTTTATGAACTACAGATAGAGCCAGGTGACCGAGCTTCAAGTTCATTTATACTTGCTGTTCTCTGGTGAATCTTTCAGGTGACCGAGCTCTGATACCGTATCTCTATCTTGACATAGGACCGATGAATTCCTCCATGGTTGTTTACACACTCTCTCTCTCTCTCGTTTGAATTCCTCCATGGTTGTTTATACTAAGCTAAACCATGCCATAATTTCATAAGAGCAGCCATTCCCTTTTCACTATCCTGCTTCCTGCATCTGATCTCATCTTCCTCACTTCACACACAGCTTTTCTGTATGGGCTTCAGTATACAGCCTTGAGGTTTGGGCTTTTTCTTTTCCTTATTCTTTGTTCAGCCTCTGACGCCGTTTTCTTATGGCACTCGTGCAATGTAAATTTCCAATATTTGGAATTAATATTATGTAGAAATGGAATACGACCACGTCTAGAAAAAATAAAATCATAGCCAAAGATCACATTTTTACGGAAATGGATAGTGGCTAATCGCTATGCAACATTCAAAAAGTTTATGCCTACGTGGTTCACTTAAAAATTTTATTTCCTTTTCTATTATTCTATGGTTTTTTTAATGTATTATACTATTTTATGTAATCTTTTTTCCAAAAATTATATACATTCTCTCTATTTATCATTTTCACCTTAACTCCCGTAAGATTAATATTTTGCTTTCTGGCGCCATTAGAATAGAATGATTTGTGCATACCTCTCTTTCTAAAAAGAGAACTATAATAAATATAATATCCAGAGGAACATACTATAAAAAGTAAAAAGAATAATGATTTAACGGGCCATGAAAATAAATCTTCAACCACCATTACCATACCCTCCCTTTCTGATATACATATATATAGATGATACAAACGAATCGCAATATCCAATAATAATTTTATAATTTTTTTTATAAATAGAATTACAGAAAACATAATTATGTTGATAAAGACCAATATTATATATCTCTAGCTGCTAAACTCTTTCTCTCCGTTTCAAAATCCGTCACTAAGAATACAAACTCCAAAATTGAGGGGCGGTTCCTTCATCCAATCCGTCGCATCACCAAATAAGACGTCATAATCCTCGAAATTGTCCAAAGGGAGACCATCCCCTAGCGTATCAAGCTTCAGCAGCCCTTGTAAATTCTCCCAACCATCGAACGGATCCTCCTCCATGTCCGAACCCGAAACTTTTATAATGGATTTTTTCGACGACCCATTACCCTTTTTGTCCCTATCGTCGACCGTAGCATTCTTTTCGCCCGTTTTCGCGTCCTTGGTTGTACCGTTGTGCTCATCAATCATACCCTTTTCGTCTATATCTTCGTTGACCGTTTCTAAAAACCCTTCGACCATATCGTCCGTACCGACCATATCCAGAGCTCGGTTCCCACTCGAAAGACTCTCGTCTTCCTCGATCATATCGAGGTTGAAATCGAAATCGAATTCGTCGAATTCAAACAGATTGTTACAGTCGGACCAGAGATCTTCCCATCCATCGATCGATTCGTCGAAGATATCCGAAATCGACGGCACGGTCTTAGGTTCTTCCAGCAATCTGTCAATCGATTCCTCGTCGTCTCGGCACCCGAACCCAACTCTCTTCATCTCCGCGTCGTGCTTCTCACATGTGTCCACGACTTCGCCATTTTCGTCAGTGCAGTTCCGTGACGTTGAACGAGAATCGAAGACCGGAGACGGAGACGGAGACGGAGACGGAGAAGGAGACTGAGGATGGACCGATTTGGTCCGGTTTACTTCCGGTTTGGTTAAACCGGTCTGGTTTTGCAACGACAAGAGCTGCTCGAACTCTCTCTTGCTCTTCTCGTAGGCATGTGCTGCTTCTTCCCCTGTATCGAACGTTCCGAGCCATTTTCGCCGCTTCGTGAACGGATCTCTTATCTCCGCCGAGAATCTCCCCCATGGCCGTCTCCGTACACCTTTGAATCCCGAAGACGATGATCTCCGCTCTCTCTTCTCCGATAATTCCGGAAGATTCGCTGAATCAGACTCGTCTCCGTACCATTTTTTGAGCAGTATCGGGACGTCGATCTCTGCGACGAGGCGTTTCGACCCACCACCCTCTTCTTCATCATCGTCGCTCGAAGAATCGGTGGCGTACGGATCGTTGCAGATTATACGGATTGTTCTTGTCGAACCCAGATCGATTTCTCTCTTGCGTTTTCCGTTCATCATCTTCTCGGCATCAGAGTAACCAAAAATCGCGCGAAAGCGACGAAATTTCGAAAAAGGGATAAAACCCAAATCCGAAAATTTCTTTAAACCCTTAGAAATAGGTTAAAGACAAACTGAACTTCGATTCAGGAATTGCAGCGACTGCATCAGATGAGATAAAACAGTCGTAAGCAGACACCCTACGTGATCGCACTTGTAAATTGTAATCGCATGAACACTAAAACCCATAACGTAGAAGCGAAGAAACTTTTGAAAACTCGTACCTTTTGGGCCATAATCCTCAGCAGAACGAGAGAGCTCCAAGCTTTTGCGTTGTTTACGAAGAAGAAGAAGAGATTGATAAGCTGAGTTAATCGGGAATTATGGAATTGAGTTTGTGCAAAACACGACATTAATATAAGGATCGAAATCACTGTTCCTTCCTTTTCTGCCGATGAAGGTTTTTTTTTCTGTTTTTTTTTCCCTCTCACTGCCTTTTTGAACGAACCGGCATGAGATGAAATATTGTCCTTCAAGAGAATCTAAACCCGGCAGAGAAATCGGCCGGAAAACAACAAACAAAAAATCTCGAAATCGTATCTGGAGATATTCTGTTACCAAAGAATAAGGAAAGGAAATAATGGGATTTCAGATCACGAAATTAGGAAACCCAGGACGAAACGATTCGAGCGGAAAGGAAACTCTTCTTCGTTTTCCTTTTTCTCCCCTGCGAAGAGCGAGTCACCGAGTCCCATTATTGGGCCTCCTTAACGAGTGACGCGTCAGGTTTTTCAAAAGAGTTAGAGGGCCGCAGAGGCCCACATCATTACTAACGCGCCCACAAAGCTTGTGCTGACGTGGAATATTCACATATTTGATTTTTATATAAATTCGGATATATATATATATATATATATATGAATATCTTAATACAATATTTTAATATTTACATTTTTTTAAAACCATTTTTGGGAAAGATATATATTATAAAATTCTTTCAATGTCCTAAATCATTCTATCAAAGAAAGTATTCTAATAACCAGCTTGCTTCTCTAAATAGAGAAACATAATAATAGCCTTATATACAAGTTCTATATGTATTTATAAACTTGTCACCCGTTAAACGAAGGCCAATGTATTTTTTTTTCCTTGAATTGTAATGGTATTAACAAAAACAAAATACATCTTTTGATTTTTTTTTATAATAACAAATAGATTTTCACTCAGATTTTAATTTAGAAAAATAAAAACAATTACGTATTATTCTATTCCAACCGATTCTATTTTGTACACATATAATTCTTGTGATTATTAAAAACGCAATACAAAATAAATTTGCTGATGAAATTAAGGTGGATTGCTTATAGATGGCTGTAATATAACGGTCGAACATGAATCATCATTGTGTTATATAAAGAGTAGTTGTCGCTTAATATATAATATGGAAGATAAAACTTGACTTTTGCAATAATATAACACAAAGTATAATATAGTATAACATTTTTTATTTTATTTTTCATTTTGGGGCGTGGTATAATACAACACATGAAAAAAGTATACATGGTAGCACATAGGGAGGCCAATGTAATAAGAGCCTATAATGACATACGTGGCAATTCGCCTAAATTAGTATTTGCAAGTGCTCATATATCTTCTAGATACTTTTATGGAATAATTTAATTACATATAGATATTTATTTATTTATTTAAATAGTGAGGGCAAAAAAAACAATAAGATTATGACTCTTTTGTTTTGCATATTTGTCTGCATATACGGTTTAAGTGGTGGACTTTAGCGGACAAGCATTTTAGGTTGTATATATATATATATTCAAATGGAATAATATATAATAACATTTATATGAAATTTGATATGAAAATTATTGGATATTATCGTTTAAAGTCAAACCAAATCAAATAAAAATTTTAAAATAACTTGTTATAAAATATATATTTAAATAAAAAGTAAATTCATATTTTTCTATTTTTAAAGACCATTCGGTATGTATATATAGATATAATTCTGATAAACTTTTGAAATCCAAAATCCGATTTGAATTCTCCCGAAAAAATATCAGATTTTGGACCTAAATTTTTTAATCCAAAAAAATTGAGTTTTTGGTTTAGATTCAAATCGGATTTTGGATCAATTTGAAAATCTGATATTTTTTTATAAAAGATAATAAAAAAATTAAATAAAATAAATTTATATAGGAAGTGAGTGGATGGATCTAAGTTCGGTCCGAACTCAAAATCTATAAATCTATAGGATTGGGTTTCATATTTAATAGTATAGGTCCGAAAAAATGGTTTACCCGAATCTAAACCTAAAATCTTCTGATCGAATGTAGATTCGAGTGGGACCAATCCGATTGATACCCTCTCTCTCTCTCTCTCTCTATATATATATATATTATAACTATTTCAAAGCTATTAAAAAGGATGTCTTATTTTGTAATATATAAAACAAATTTACAAAAAAAAGATATTATTACTCTTTTACTGACTTTAATGGGCTTTTTCAAAGCTAAAGTTCTCTACCTAAGCCCATGTCCTTGCCAATAAAATACTTTTTAAGAACTTCATGTTGATAAAAAAAAAAATTTTGATTTTCCAATCATTTACAAACAGAGTAAATACACAAATTTATGCTATACTTCGGTGAAAAAATCTATGATTTTACCCTTTAATAAATACATGTACTTAGCACATTTATTACTTAAATAGTTATAATAAATGAAATGAATAAAATTTAATTTCAGTTTATCAGACAATTATTGCTTATTAAATTATTGTATATTTTATAACTCATGAGATGATTTGTTTATAATATATATTAATAGTTACTTCTATATTATGTATATATATTATTAATCTTATTAAGTTGTTACATATATATATTACTAATCTTATTAAGTTATTAACCATATTTTAAATGAGGAATATAAATAACGTATCATTAAGTCTCAATAAATTTCCTTGTTGTTATCCTTGCTTTTGCAGAGTAACGGTTAGCCGAGCGAGAATCGAGGTAAGAGTTTACACGTGGCAAGAAAAAACGAAGATGACGTGGTGGCCTGCATGTAAATATCCATGACAACCAGGGAGATTTTTGCAAAGGCACGTCTTGAAAGCCGTGTCTGAGCCGACTTTACACGTCGGCGCCGCTTTAGCCAAGCGCCCTTTCTAGATTCGGCTCAATCCTCTTGGAATTGCAAATATTTAAACTTTCAAATTATTAAAAAATACATTACTTATATATATATATATATATATTCCAGTGAAATTATATATTTAGTTCGACTTTTAACTAATAACTAATAAATCTTAAGTATTAATAAATATTTAGATAAACTGAGATAATATCTATAATTAATCTATATCATAAATTTATCATACGAATCTTCACATATTTGAGATTTGACATAAACATTAATATTTCAAAATAGTCAATTAACTTGGGGAGAGTTTGAAAAAATAAATCACCCATATATATATATATATATATATATATATATATATTGTTTTTTAATATATCGTTTCGGTCAGCTGACGTTGTAGGACTCTTCGATAAAAGAAAAAAACAATCGCCCTCTCACTTAATTTCACAAATTAATAAAATAAAATAAAGGAAAAAAAATATGGATGACTCGGTACTTGAAATCTAGGTTGGTTTGTAAGGGAGTATTATATTTGAATAAAATAACATTTTTATAAGAATGCGTAAGACACTATGATGGGTTATAAGTACTATTTATGAAATATTTGTTTGCAAAATTGAAATAAAATGCTTATATAAGTGGGACCCAACACAGCTGTTGTGGCGCCTCGCGTGAGCATGCATGCCATCAACCTAATTTATTTTTATTGAAAATATTTATAATTAGTATTGATTTTATATGAATCAATTTAAATAATTAAAACTAATATTAAAGAACCTGATTATTAATATATTATTTTAATCTAAATACTCATTTTTTAATTTTTTCACATAAGTTTAATTTAAATTTATCTAAATTATTAGGCTTTGTGAAAGTGTAAAAATAAATAAACCATGAAATTTGACAACAAAATTCAAACAAAACTATTACTAACAAATTGTCAAAATCTACGTAATTATTTAGAAAAAAAAAACCCAAAATGTTATTATTATAAAGATAATGATTTAATTTAAGAAATTAATCTATAACATGAATTAATAAGTATGTTTGCATATGTGAGCGGAGCATTTCATTTTGTATAACCTCCGAACCATATGTTTGTTTATTATTTAATAGTGAATTAATGATTTGATTTTTTTGTTTGGCATTATAATAAACTATTCTGGAGAAAAATATATGTAAATTAAAATCCATTAACATGTATCAGCGCCAGAGTTTAATTTTGATTATTAAATACACAATTTAATTCGGTTCTCTATAATATTTATAATTTTCTTTTGTATAAATTACTAAATTTAAATCATTGTTAAAAATTAAAACGTATACAACTTTTTAAATCACTTGTTTTTAATATTGATTAGCATAATGACTATAATAAGAATCTAACGTCTTGGATATTCCATTGTCACGAATTGAACCACTGGATCTTACCATGTTTTATATTTATTGCTAAATAAAATGATATTTTACCACAAATAAACAAAAATAAGACGTGCACCACACATAGTTAACCTATTTTCTCTAATATGAAATGAAATAAATATATACATTTATTGAGTGGAGGTTCGGTTGACACGAATTTCTGACGAAGTTGTCTTGAAAATAAAAAGTATCGAAGAGAAAATCAAATTTAAGAATGTTTTAATAACAAATATATTTTGGAGTTTTATATGGTATATATATTATATACCTGTTCTCAAATTATATGATATATATATATATATATATATTAATACCTTTTTATTTTTATTATCCACCCTAATTACTGGAGTTAGATAAAGAGTGTATGAAATTAAACTGAATTGGATATTATATAATTATATTTGAATTAAATTCAATTTTAAATTTAATTTTATAAAGAAAACAAATAAATGAAATAACAAAATTAATGGAATTGGTATGAAATTTAAAAGATTTTTTTAAGCCAACAATTTCATGAGGGGCTAAAGTTGGTTTGGTCGGTTGACAATTGATTGTCTAAGCATGAAAATACAAGTGGGAACAACACTTATGGCTGAGATTACAATTGTAACAATATTATACTATGAAATTCATTTACGGTAAACGTATATAGACAAATTTCATGAAATTACAGTGTTTGAAATGTTGAAACTTTTAAAAAACATATAAGAACCGATTTATAACACGTTAGATTTCATAAAAATATGGATCTCCAAATACGATTTTAATTTTTTAAAAATTATTTATCTATTATATATATATATATATATATATATATATTTATTGATTCGATTAGGATCATATCGAAACGAGTTGATTTGTTTTGAGTTCAATTTATTAAATTCAAAATTTTAGCTCAATTCGATACGTCGTTTTTACGTGTTAAATAAACGGTTCACAATAAAAATTAAATATTAATTTTTTATAAAATATAAAAAAAAAATAAAAAATTATATTTGTTTGAAAAAATACATCACAAATTAGTTCGTACCAGTTGGTTCGTAACTCGCGACCGTGACGAACTAGATCATTAGATTCGTTTATAAACTAACTTTAAAAATACTGATTTAACTCATTTAAAAATGAGTTGATAATAAATCAATTTAGGAGTTGAACTCATTTTGACATCTTTAGATATAATGAGTTTTTCAAATTTTTATTTTTATTATAATAAAATGGTTATATATAATCACAAGAAAATACGAAACTGAATACGAATGCAAACGTCACACGCATGTGCGTTCACGTTCTATAATGGCCAAGATGTATATATCTTTCATATGATGTTACGTTTTTTTTTTCTTCCGAAAATTCTGAAAAATAGTACAAATTAATTAACATTTAAAAATAAATAAATTTAAAAACACCGAATCTAGTATGTACAAAATTTCCCTATAAGTACACTCACTTTCCCTCTCCATCTTCTCACCCATCAGATTCATCGCTAGACCTTTTTTTCTCTCTAGGTTCCGACAACCTTAAAGTTCCAAACTCTCTCCCCGATCTCTCTCTCTTCAATTATTTCAATCTCTGTCCCACTTCTCTTCCTTTTTTCTCAGCAACCAAACACTCCAAAGATTTTCCGAGAAAGACCCATCAAAGCTTTCACCTTTTCCGCCTATTACTTAACCCTTTTCATCTTCTATCACTTTTCTCGTTCATCTGTGTTTTCTTTTGATGACGACAATGGCGGATCCCGGAGATTACAGGAAGATTCCGAGGAAACGTTCCCGAGTCGACCCGTACGAGTACGTCGCCGATTCGCCGCCTGTTAAAACACTCCGAGCCCCGGAGGCTATTTCCTGCCCTCCTGACCTCGTTCGACTCGACTCGGTAGCCTCGTCTGACTCGATAAACTCGGTTTGTGACCTGCCCGAGGTGAACCCGGACAACGTGGCGGATCTGCTGGGTATGTTCGATGGTCCTGACGCGGCGGCCGATCCAGAGGTCGACTCGGTGGTCAAAAGTTTACAGGAAGAGATCGCGGTGACGTCGGCGGCTGATGCTGGAGATCCAACGGCGGAGATTAAATCAGAGAACGAACTGTGTTATCTTCTCGAAGCTTCAGACGACGAGCTCGGTCTGCCACCGAGGAATTCGCTGCCGGGATCTTCTTCCGGCGGCGATGTTGTCGTCGAAGAATTTGGGTTCGATGGCGATATTCGGGTGAACGACTTGTCGGAGCTTGGAATCTGCGGCGGCGACTCGGACGATTACGGCGGCGCGGGCGATATCGTGGCGTGGGATGGGCTTTTCGATCAGGAGTCCGACGGTTCAAAGCTGACGTGGCAGCCGGAGAGTGTGTCTGCTCTGTGAGGAAACGGTGTCGTTTTCGTAGTTTTGAGATATATGTGTATATTTTGAAACGGAAGTTATAGAAATCAAAGTAAAAAACAAGGAAGAATCTTCATGAGATGACAAATGGAAGGTTATTTTGTTTTAATCTTAAACCTTTTTTGTTAACTTAAATTACTACAAAAATTATATCGGTTAATTAACACTTGTGGCTAGTTAAACTTAAACAGAAGTACAAATCAATTGTAAATGATGAATAATTGATTTGAGTTTCTAGTGTTGAATTGATCCAACTTCATCATTATTTTATCGTGTTGTTTTTTCTTATGATTTGCATACATAAAATTGATATATATATTTTAGGTTTTTAAAATATAAAATTTGGAGTGGTAATCATAACAGGAGCAAATAACAGGATCAAGATAAATAAGAGGAAAAATTGAACAAGTTGTTAGTGAAGAATGGGACAATAAAATAAAACTATTTTATGTAATGATATGCTTTTACATATAATTTTTTAAAAGGA